CACTGAGCGCTCAACACAGACAGCATCGTCAGAAGAAAAGTTGATAAAATAAATTAAAAATTTTGTATTGTCTCTCTGAGCAGGTAACACAGTTGGAGCGAAGTTATCGTGAAAGCCGGGAAAGGGTTGTAAGCCTGGAGGCGGAGCTCCGAGCAACTGCGAGCACTGCCTCAGAGAGCCAGGGCATGCTGAACGCTGCCCAGGATGAGCTGGTAACCTTCAGTGAGGAGTTGGCGCAACTCTACCACCACGTCTGTCTGTGCAACAACGAGACACCAAACCGAGTCATGCTAGATTACTACCGCCAGAGCCGAATCACACGCAACGGCAGCCTCAAAGGCTCGGAGGATCCTCGAGCTTTGCTCTCGCCTCGCCTGGCGCGACGTCTCGCAGCAGCATCGGCGGCCTGCTCCTCGGAGTCTCCGCGCAGCTCCACAGACTCCCCATCCAAAGATGCCCAGCATAACGAGACAACGACTCACAACCCAGCGGACTCCTGCCACAGCAGCCCTACCCGCAACTACACCGGCTCCCCGGTCGTCGGCATCTCTCCTTGCCCATCTCCGGTACCTTCAGACTCAAGTGGGGACCTGCGGAAGGAGCCGATGAATATCTATAACTTAAACGCCATCATCAGAGACCAGATCAAACACCTGCAGAGGGCTGTTGACCGCTCGCTGCAGCTGTCCAGGCAAAGGGCTGCAGCTAGGGAGCTAGCACCCATGCTTGACAAGGACAAAGAGTCCTGCATGGAAGAAATACTAAAGCTCAAGTCCCTGCTTAGTACTAAGAGAGAGCAAATAGCTACACTCAGGCTGGTGCTCAAGGCCAATAAGCAGGTAAAATCTTTTGTTTGTTGGATTCTACAAAAACCTAAAATGCATTTTCTATTAACATTAAATGATTCAATTCAAATCGCCCATCTTTGCAGACAGCAGAAGGTGCGCTGGCTAATCTGAAGAGCAAGTATGAAAATGAAAAGTCAATGGTGACAGAGACCATGACGAAGCTCAGGAATGAGCTGAAGGCTCTGAAAGAAGATGCAGCCACCTTCTCTTCTCTCAGGGCCATGTTTGCGACGAGGTGAGAAGGGCTCAGGAAATGTGGCACGGCTAAGATGAGAAAGCAAAGTGTTCGGTTAAAACGTAGAATTTGCGTATAGATGTCGACTTGTGGCGACACATAATCCTGCTGTGTGTCTGTTAATCTCCCTGTAGGTGTGATGAATATGTGACACAGCTGGATGAGATGCAGAGGCAGCTAGCGGCAGCAGAGGATGAAAAGAAGACGCTGAACTCCCTCCTCCGAATGGCCATCCAGCAGAAACTGGCCTTGACCCAACGCTTGGAGGATCTGGAGTTTGACCACGAGCAGACTCACCGTACCCGCGGTGCTAAAGTGCCCAAGATAAAAAGCAGCCCACCCAAAGTAAGTCGCAGAGGTGACCCCACAATTTCTTCCAACCCTACCAGCCTCCACAGCCACTTCATCATCATCACTCACACCCGAACACCACTGTGACCCTTTGTAATCTTCCCTGTGTAGAGCTAACCTCATGTTTGTTTGTGGCTTTATATCAGCCGTACCTTCACCTCTGCGTCACTGCAGTTACTCCAGTTTCTCTCTGGAGTTCGAAGCCGTTGGTAGATCCTAAATGCCGAGCCCTACGCTGTTTTTTATCATCATTTCCACACCCAACACCAATTTTCTTCCCAGAAGCCTCTAGATTAGGTGGAATAGGAGAGGTGGTAGAAATGCATAAGGCACCCCGGTGCACTATCATGCAACATCTGTGTCCATGACACATCACAGGGAAGATTCTTTATGAAATACCAGATAACAAATCTGATATTAAATATCTTTTCTTCCATCTAAAATCCTGCTGCCATAAAATATGACATCATTCCCCAATACTAGGAAGTGTTTCAAAATGACAACAAAGCAAAAATGCCTTTATTTCTAATCACTCACAGCCCCTCACTGTGGCCGATTCAATGAATTACAGCTGAGATTTTTCCTTACAATTAATTTACACCACGACTTAAGTTGTCCCAGGTTTTTGACAGGTTCAGACTAGTAGGAAAACCGGTCAAGCATTTTCTCCGTGTATTCCTAACCCCTCTTTGGAAAAGGGAAAGTAAACAAAGGAATTCTTTGTTACAGCACAATCCTCTTTGCGGCGTAACCATTTCTCAACACTAGATGGCGGTGTTTGATCAAATGAGACTTTCCAGTCAATTGCTGTTGGGCCTTTTTCTCCCTCCTTTTGACTGCGAATTACAGTCACATATATTATAAATAAGCCAATTTAAGCTAAATGTTTTTAAAAAGCAATGTGTAATCTTCTACGTGTTAAATGAGCGAGTAAACAAGACCTCAGCAGAACTGGTGTAGTCCAAAAATACAATGCCTATTATTATATTTTTAGCTTTTGTTTCACTGCACACGTCCTTGTCTTTTTTTGTCCTTGCAAATCAATATAATATTGTATTGGCAAGTGTGTGTGTGTGTGTGTGTGTGTGTGTGTGTGTGTGTGTGTGTGTGTGTGTGTGTGTGTGTGTGTAAAAGTGTGTGTGTGTGTAAAAGTGTCTGTGTCTCTGTCTCTTTGGGGGTTTTGTGTTTTCTGCTTCCAGCACAGATTGTCTAGCTGTGCAGTGACCGGTCCTGATGACACTGGCTGGTCACTTGAGCTATACTCAGTTTGGTTTCCAGTGTGCTATTGATCTGTAGTAATGTACTGAGAAAAACTGACCGGGATGCGTCACCCTAAAAGTCACGGTAACAGTAGAATTGAGTGTCTTTGTCTCTGACGAGGTCTTCCCTTGTCTTGTCCACCCTGTTATCTCTGTCCTGTTGTCTAACCCCGAGTGTCACCACTTTGTATATTTGTCTAATTTATCAGTTTCTTGTAGATTGTCAGCAGCCTGCTGCCTCAGTACCGCTACTCTCCCCACAACTAAGGCGAGGGAGAGCCTCCCTAGTACGCAGGTAACAAGCTGTAGAACCTGCTAGCAGTAGACTTACTAATATCTATCTA